ATATTGGCCGGACTGATTTAGTTTAATTTCTTTACTAAGGCCCACAATATTTCTCTCGATTCAAACTGTGTCAAGTGCATTCGCCCCTGTCGATGTGATTTCTTCTTGCAAAGGATGTTCGGCTTTCGTTGACTGGTTATTGTTTGAAAATAAGCCCTTTGTCTTATACATGTAAATGTGTCTTACCTTTCATGTTCTTTTTCCTTACCCCTGTAAGCGAATTCGTGGAAATGACGTCAAATTTTCAACCGACTCCATCAAACTTTTTGCAGTTTTTTCAGCTGTCCTGAGACGCGTGTGGCATCTCGGTGGCCGCGTTTTTGGCGCGAAAACTCGGCTCGCTGGTCACGTGACGTTTTTCAACTGCAAAGTTCCCGACTGAAATTGTTGAATCGTGGGATTTTATTCCGTATTGAAGGTATGAAAATTTAATTTGACGTATTGATGGAGAAAAAGGTTGCAAAGCTTGCAAATCTATCACTTAGTGGTAAAATATCTGGTTCGTAGATTAGGAATCATCTGTCATTGTTTGGTTCCCAGTATCTTACCATTCGCATTCTGCTCGGCCAAGGAACGCCTGGCTGTTATCTCACAAATATCAGATCATCATTTTTCGGGTGGGTATACTGTCTTTCACGTTTGATCGCCTCCCGTTTGGAACCACGAGCTTCTTTCCTCCGTTTCGTTAATTCTCTGTTCTTGCTTTGCTATGTCTCACGTACCTTTTTTTCGACTGTGTCGTGGTTCTGTTGGCAGACAACTTGTAAAACCTATTGTTACGCGCAATATGGCAAGCGCACGGATAAACAAAGTACTGGTCACTCGTTCAGTTCCACAAGCTGCTATTGAAATTATAAAGTCCTCTCAGAGGTACGTCTTAGATATATTTTTGTTATTCCTTGTTAAATAATGCGATTAGGCCGGTGTAATTCTTGAAAATCGTTTTGTGTTAGTAAGGGCTTCAAGTAAAAGAACTTCCATGTACACGTGTACAGAATTTCGCCAGGTTTTGGCCCTTTTGTTCTTGTAGATGATATGTTTTGTTGTTTACATTTACAAATAAAGTAAAAACAACTCTCTCTAATTATATATTCCTGATTCTTCTTCCGTATTCTCAGTTACTGACTCTCTTGTTGTTGACGCCGATGTTTTGAGTTTACATTTCATATTGCGGAATATTGGCAAATTAGCTGGTCGATTTAACCTTGTTCATTTCCCCTTTTTACGGGGCGCCATATGGGTAGCAGTATTTTTTTTTTATTTCTTTGCCAAGAGCGGTTTGGCACGAGTTCAGAAAAAGAGGAAGAATGAATAAAGCCCCTCCCCCACCCCACCCCCTTTTTTCTTCACAACCAAAACAACAACTGCCATACTTGCCAGACAAGTGCTTTTTTATCATACCAATTTCGGTACAAATCTGCATACAGTATTCAAAGGCTTTGGGTGAAATATTAATGGTGCTTAGACTGAAAACATTAATTAAATACCATAAAATCCCGTGTTAAAGTCCCCCTGGTTATAAGCCCCTCCCTGATAGGAGCCCTTCTATTTGCTAACAAAGATATTATTCCAGGTATAACCCCCCCCCCCCCAGATATAAGCTCATCTAATGTCTAAGTGCATTCCTTTTGCGTTTCTTTACAAACATCAAAATATTTAATCGAAAGTTATAGTCTAATAGGGTAATACCTGGGTAATAAAAGGGTTATAGGGTAATAGCTGGGTAATAATAGGGTTACAGGGTAATAGCTGGGTAATAAGAGGGTGATAGGATAATAGCTCTAAATGTAACAATCAATGTTAGTTTAAATTCGTTTCTCAAATACATTTTATCTCATCATTCTGAAACATTTTTTTATTCCGCTTATATGCCCCCTTCGATATAAGTCCTCGCTTATAAGCCAACCCAAAACCCCTTATGAAGTTATGTAAGCCCAGGACTTTAACATGGAATTTAATAGTATGTCACTGCAAATACTGTATGTAATACAGCAAAAAAAAAAAAAAAAAAAAATACATGTAGATTGTAGTATTGTCACTGGTGCACTGGTCCAGTGCATGTACAAATATATGCAGAGTTTATGCCATANGAGGATAGTATGATAAATTATATTAGCAGAGTTGACAGGTATGTAATGTTGTTCAAGATAAATTTTAGGTCAAAATGATTTTGAACTAGTTTGAATTATTTTGTCCTTTGATTTAGATTTTTAACTATCAAAAGACAAAAATAAATAAATAAATAAATAATACAAATTCCACAAAAATGCAAATACAAACCAAACCAGTTTGAAATTTTAACCTATAATTCATTTTCAACTACAGCATATGCCTTGGTAGTTTTAACTTTTTTGTAATGCTATGCTATTCGAGAGCGCAAACAAGAGGTAATAAAGACGACAAACAGTCTTTATAAGAACAACAACTCCATGTTTAATTCAGCACGGCAAGCGCATGGTCCAAGAGTCATGTGACTACGCATGACGTCACATTTTAAAAATCCTTTGTTTTTGTCATAAGCTGTGATTTGGATCATTGGGACTCAGAGGATCCAATTCCAAGAGACGAACTTCTAAAGCGAGTTGCTGGTCTTGATGGTCTTTATTGCCTCCTCACAGAGAAAATAGATTCTGAGTTACTGGATGCTGCTGGTGAGTACTCACAGCATAGTTAATACAGGGGAATGGTTATGAAGCCCAGCAAACAGCAAAGGAGCAAACAAAGATGCCAAGATTTATGTTGAATGGTACACGACAGTGCACAATTTTTTATTTTGCATTCATGCACTATGCATGAGTTACGTAATCAAAACATTTCTATTCATCAGTTCCTCGGTCAGTGGTAAACAACTATTGTGTTCTGCACACGGTCAAGGCCAAAAAAGAGAACAAAAACATATAACAGAGAACTTCGTTGAGTTTCATAACCATTCCCCTCTATTAACTATGCCCACAAAGAGCATTATTTTGATTCCTGGTGAGGGGGAAGGAGATCTTTAGGTGAAGAGTTGCACCCGAGACAATGGGATATTACAAGAGGCAGGAAAACGTAAAAAAAGAAGTACTTATTATTTTAGAATTGTCACTTCTTAGGGGTTTAATGAACTCGCACTTCATCCAGAAAACAAGATTCTGATCCCGATTAAGAAATAAAAATGTCAGACACTTTTATGTGAAAATCTTCCTTGGGTTTCAAAGTCGACAAAATTCCATATATTTATGGTTTTTCTCAATGTGCTCCTCCCCCTGAACAAAGATGGTGGCAGAAACCATGAAATGCCCCATCCTCCTCTGTGACTGTCATGTCTGGTGCAGGGTTCGTACGGGTCATGGAAAACCTGGAAAGTCATGGAAAAGCAATATACTTTCTGAGAATAAAAAGGCAAAATGCAGATGAGTCAGAAAAGCGGTTTTAATTCCAGTAAAAAAAAGAAAACACAAGCACCATTCTGTGCATCATAATATGGGAAAATACCTTAAATAATGGATTGTTTTGACAATACATTGAGGACAAGTTCTTACATGTAACACATGTAATAGAAAACTCAGAAAGGTCGTGGAAAATCCTGAAATTTTTAAAGCTCAAAAGAGTACAAACCTTGCCAGTGAGATAATTCAAGAGACTGAGTGGTAGACCATTTCATTTCCAGCCAAGTCCTACAGTGTATGACTATTGTATTCTGTTCTAGAGAGTCTACCATCGGTGTGGTAAGAATCAACAAGAGATATTGGGTTAATAGCGTCACGGAAGACCACTGAGTTAATTACGATGTGTGCTTGAGATAAAATTGATTTTCTTTATTGATGACTTTCCTCTATCTGTCTCTTTTGTATAAACTCCATTACAGGTCCTCAGCTTAAAGTTGTCAGCACAATGTCAGTTGGTTATGACCACATCAGTTTACCAGAAACCTCAAAAAGGTGACAATTTGCATACTACACAGTACATACTTTAGGGATGTTAGGGATGTTGCATGCTGGATCAAAAAGCCAGGCTTGGGCCTGGGTTGTATTATCATTGTGTTGTGTTTCTGGGCAAGACACTGCACTCTTACAGAGCCTCATGTCATGAATAAAAAAAAACCCAAGCCAAATTGTGTTACTTGTGTCTCTACTGAAAATGTCTCTTCTGACAGGTTGCTTGGAAACCTGACAGAGAAGAGGCAATATCCTGTAATGGAGAAGTGTCCCATGCAGTGGAGAAATAATACCCTTATTATGTCCCTTCATAATCTGTTTTAAAGCTTTTTTCCAAGTAATTCTTTTGCATATGTTTTTCTTATTTACATGTAGGGGCATTGCTGTTGGCCACACTCCAGGGGTGCTGACAGATGCCACAGTAAGTAAACCATAATATATTCAATTTTCACACTAGGTGAGAGAGCATTAATGCCATACATGTGTAATAATGGCCTCCTAAGTAGGCATCTTTCTGTGAAACTGACAAATACAAACATCAACATATATAGCTAGATATCTCAGTTGACTGTTTGGTGTGCGTTTAAGCTCAATATAAAATTTTACATACTGATGTGGAGAAGCTGGGAGTGTTACATCATGCAGTACCTACTTCTAGGAAGAATGCATTATTTTTTTTTGCCATTTACATGTAATTGGTGGACATAGCATGTGTGTGATGATGCAATAATTAATCATTTGACATGTAAACATATGATTGTTAAGCTAATTTGATGGGGAAGGGTAGGGGGTGGCCTTGGTTCTGGCTACATTCTGTGCTCTGGCTTAGGCTAGGGTTTGGGCTCTGACTGGGGCCATGACATTGTTCTTGGGCTTGACACTTTACTCTCACGGTGTCTCTCTC